GGTGTGTGTGTGTGTGTGTGTGTGTGTGTGTGTGTGTGTGTGTGTGTTTCTGCAGGGTTCTTTCACAGCTGTGGTCTTTGCTGGAGTTGGGAGTGTGAGGAGAAGCAGGGTCTAAGATGGGGAGCTGAAGGATCAGAACCATCTGAKCAGAACCCTGTGGAGGTGACTACAGCTGGAACAGGTCTGTTGGATTCTGAAGGTCCAGAACCAAAGCTTGACACCAACATGTTGCACAACAAGGTTCGACGTAAACGTTTAGGTTCTCTGAGACGACTTGTTTTTGTTTCGGACAACCGGTGTGTGGTGGTCCCTGCCCCCCACCCCCCACCCCACACCACCACCTCGTAGAAGAAAGACCTAGATTAAAGTTCTCCGCTGCAGACGTCTGTCATTTGTTAAAATGAAAGGGAGAAAAACTTGTTTAAGGATGAAACTGATGTTTTTTTCACCCAATAAAGAGAACCACAGTCTGAGTTTCACCCAATCAGAGCAGAGTGGGGCGGGTCCTGCTGGCTGATTGACAGCAGGTGTGTGCAGCGGGGTGAACACTCTTTCACTGAGGATTACGTATTCTATAATTATATTTTTGAAAGCACCTCACAGCCTTTCCACTATAACACACACAAACAAACAAACAAACAAACAAACAAACAAACGATCACCTGACCCGGCGTCGACCAGCCTGGGACTTATTATTTCCTGTTCTTTAACCAGGTAAGTCCTGTTGAGATCTCAGATCTCCTTCAAAGGAGGCCTGAACCCCCCACAAACACCAGGAGAACAAGCAAACTCCACACAGGAAGACCCCAGGTCTGAACCGGGGATCAAACCCAGGACCTTCTTGCTGTGAGGCGTCATGTAAACAACCCGTTCTGATTCTTCTGATCCGATTGAGCTCGATCCGAATGGAAAAAAAAAGTAACATTTTCTACATATAGGTCAAATTAATCACTGCARTAAAATAACTTTGTGTGTTTTTGTCACTTTTACAGTGGATTGCATCAACTCTGTTACATCCAGAAGGGAAACTTCACCAAAGTGAAACATAAATCTGTGGATCTGTGTTTGATTACTCTGCCTGGCTTTCTCAAGGACCAGGAGCAGAACGTAGTTAACTTTTTTGGTTGTGATGAAAATAATGCTACTAAACAAGGCAAGAAAAATTATTTTTAAGATGAAAATACAAGGGTAAATTCAAAATTAGCCAAAATGGCCATTTAGACCCCAGAGGATTAAAAACAGAAGAGCTCAGTCTGACAATCCTTCTTTCTTTGCATTTTT